GCTTCCTCTGTTGAAAAGCTGTGTGCCGCGAGGCCGGCCAGGCCTTCGTTTCCTGCCATTGACTGCTGGCCTGTTGTTTTTACCTGCTCACACAATAACTTGGCACAGAGGCCTCCGACTGGGGAGACGTCAACATGTGCAAAAGCAGAGGCCTGTGTGTGATTGAGGTCCAAATCTGCAGCTTGAGTTTATACACGACCAGCAGCAGCAGCAGGTTACAGCCGACACATGATTGATTTCTGAAAGGAGCTGGTGAGTTCGAGCCTCTGAAAAGAACCTGGAAGAAGGAGATAAACAGGCGAGGTTCTCTTGATTTTCAGCAACAACTACTGAAATTCACACGGTGCTTTTCAACTCCAGTTTCATGCAGAATAAAAGTGCGGTTTCTGAGGGTAGAAAGCAGGTGTGAATGTGTATAAAGTCAGGATGAAATTAAAGAAGGGTGTTTCTGGGAAAGAGGCGGGCTCAGCGATCCCTCCTGCATAAACACGGGGATCAAGCTGGAAAACACCTCATCGGCAGCATTCGTAAAGAGTTTGTTTGTTTATCAATCGTCCTCTTGGGTTTGATTTCCTGACAAAACAGAATGTGAGATCAGTTTTTGTCCAGCCAACAGCTCGCAAAGCTTGGACGCCTGACTTTCTCATCAGCACACAAATGCAGCACTATAGGTACGGTAAACAAACACGAAAAAAGATCTGGATCAGCGACTTAAGCCAATCAAGAAATCCCTCCGGTGCGCTCCAGCCAAATCCATTTATCATACACAGACTTAAAGTGACAGCTCCATCATCAACAATGTTTTAAAGCTTTCCTGTCCATGCACAATCGATTAGTCAGAGTCATTTAGAGGAAGCATTTGTTACTGCACAAATTAGATACATGCTTCCAAGAACTGGCCTGTAAACAAAGGCCTTTTGTTGCTCATCTGATATAAGCAAAAGGTAGGTTGGTCCTGTAAACACTTTCACTCTTTACAGCTGACCGAGGGACGAGCGCTGGCATGTATGAGTCACAGTTGGAGTTTCAAACGGAGGTTTTTATTGACCCAGAAAATAAACATCAAAACAGAGTAGGCATCAAAAGCACAGTGTAATAAAGTGTCAGGAACAATTCAGCATTCATTCACTGTGACTGTCAGCTATATTTTCTATCGTTTATTATCGTTCAGATACACACTATCTGGTAGTACTTATACCAACAATCTGTAGCAGCCTGATACATAACTGCTGTATTTTGCACTCTTCATCGCATAAAGCTGAGATATATTTGGATCTATAGGCCTTTAAAAAGGCAGTCTAGCTTATTCATATTTAACATAAACTGAACAGACTGCTCCAGCACATTACACCGAACACAAAAGGGAACATAAATGTGTGTAAAGGCTGTCAGAAGAATAAACAAAGGTAAACAATAACTCTTGGTACAATCTGATATGCCGCTTCCCGTGTTTATTCGACACATCCTTGCTGAAGGATGGAACAGGTCGCCTACCAGTGATTCCTGAAACAACAGACGACATTTACAGAGCACTAGGAATAGATGCAACTGACGTCAGGATACCAAAGTTTGGTTAAAATATGTATTAAAATATGGTTAGGGTAGGGAGAAATGAGTGAGATATACTTGGCACTAGCAGGAAATATTTGGCAGTTGCAACCTTAAAAAAACATGAGTTTGATCGGTTGCCCCTGTATTGTAGTTGTGACTAAGTTCATACCAGAGGTCCTTGGATAGTGAGGCTGCACTGACTTAATCATGTTCGGTGATGATCCGAATGTTTAACAAAAATCAGCTGATGCTAAGAGCATTTTTTTGCGGTTAGGAGGATCAACAATTAAACTCGTGCTTTCAGTAGGATTCAGGTGCTGCCAGAGCGAAAGAAATGCAGTCAGTGTGCATAGGCCCTCAAACTTCAGCAGCTAGATGTTTTATGTTTTTGGTGTGAGTCGTACAAAAAGGTACTAAAAAAAGTCAGACTGGATTGAAAGATACAAAAACTTTGTCTCATGCTGCATCAAAGAAACACACTTAACCTAACCCACTCTCCTCCAGCAGCCGCTTGTTTTTAGGGGAGCCCTGACAAGTCGATCACTGAGTGCAGCGGAGTTTCGCAGCTCAAGGAAGAACATTTATGATCAGTTCTTCATGGAAATACAATCAGACCAGCGTATCGCTACGCAATCTTCGCACGCCCATAGGCTGTATCAAGTGTCAATCATAGAAAATAAGAACCCCAAATAGCTTTTGAAAATGGAGCTGCACAGAAAAAAGGAAAAAAGAAAAACTAGACAGTATTGACTTAGTAGTTATCGTGTAATTACCAGATAATTTCATGTTGTTACTAGGTAACTACCAGTTAATTACCTGGTAATAAGTGTACCGTAAAAGAAAGGGTTACCAAAGTATGTTTTTTCAGTATTTTGACAACACTAATTGGTTGATCATTCAATCAGTTTTTTTTCTGATTGAAACTACTGAATATCAGTTTATTGTCTGATTTAACTCGTGATCAATCATGAGAATAAGTGAAGTAATGAGGTCCAGTTTCAAATCAGAAGGAAAAGGTTAAATATAAATCAGACGACTCGGCTGAACCGAAGTGGACAGTTGCTGAAATTTGAGATGTGAAAAGCACAAGAACCTCAAACACTTACTGCTGAAATGTCCTGCAGTAAAATTAGCCCATGCAGGTTTATTTATGTGGCACATAAATGACGGGGGTTTCACAGGAAAACTAAAATGCATAAAGAATAAGACATGAAGTTGCTTTTACAGGACGATAAAATCTTGAGACCTGAATGACATACTTCAGTAATCGAGTAAATCTGCTTAATAAGCGCCTCTGTAACAACAGTCTGGCAGTGAACAGGCAGCAGATTTGCTGTGCGAGCTGACAGCGTTAAGAATGTATCACCTCCGAAGAAATCCCACCACCTCTCTGTTTATTTTGGCGAACAATCCCGTTCGTCTGTAGTGCCGCCATGTAACGTGGTAACACCTACGCGGAGTCGTGTGAAGAGCTCTGTGAGCCATATGTGGATTCTGCACAACATCACAGCATGATTTAATAAAAGGTTTGACTTTCACAAAATTAATTTTCAACAAATGTGATGAATGGCTTCTTTGCCAAGTATCATTTCAGATAATAAACCATCACATCTGTGCGCTTGATTGGGCTGCTTTTGAATGCAGTCCATGCTTTTGCACGCAACTCTGTCTCTAACAGGTGCTCCAGCGATGCGGCAATAAAGGCTGGTTTATGTATCATGTTTTTGTTATTGCATTACTGCACTATGAGGTCAGATGAGACGGCTTTAAGGTTAGGAGACTGGATGGTTAAGGGTTTATGGCGAAGAACCACAGAGAAAATCTAATATGATTTTTTTTATTGTCAGGGATGTGGTGGAACATTAAACATGTGTTCAAAGAAATGAGAAATGAGGTGAGCAACCACAAATACTGACAAAATGAAGTATAGGTGAGCTGTTTTCCATTACAGAGCCTCTTTTCATGGAGTTTACACCAGAAAACAAAAGAGGATCACGATCGGTTTCATCTACGCCGTGTTCAAACTCCGGCACATTCAGGCCGTGGCTTTGTGACCTCTGCGAATCCCAGCAAAGGGAGCGTTACACTTTCCACTCCTGTCGAGCTGTGAGAGTCCGTTAGTTTGGCCGAGCGCTCCTGTCCAGACTGTAATCATACAGTAAAACACTTTGTTTGTTTGCTCTGGCTGTAACCACCAACATTTCAAGACTTGGGTCGGGAAGTGGCGAGTTGGATTTTCTGTTTGTTTCCGAGCGTGCACGAACATCATGTTTGGTATAAATACACACATAAGCACTTCCTTAGTTTGTCATATTTTTACTGTACCCACTCTGGGGCCATTTTTCCCCTGATGTCCTGTTTAGGATTAGCCAGACCTCATCAGCCAGCTCCGATTGGTTTCTGCTGAACCCAGAGTCACTGTCATTCGTCGTGAATTTAACCCTTTAATTTTCTGTATGAAAGCTGAACACTGGGTTGTGTGAAAGCCGAGTCAGGAATGAGTTCATTAACATTTACAAAGACATACAATGAAATCATCTGCCAACAATCAGAGGGTTTATCATATCTCATGACTACTGCAAAAATCTAACTGGTTAAGAACATGACATGGGATCTTGTTGTATTGGGAGGTGGTTCGATCAGGTGAAATGGTAGGCCTATGGTGTGGACTTTCAAGGACTTCTGCAGAGCTCCAGTAGCTCATAAGCAATTTGCCTCTGAGTCGTGGGTGGAGACAGCGCTGCTCTGCTTATTCCGCTTCATGCTAGCTTGTAGCCTAACACTGCTGGTGTAGTAGAAGTGTTCAGTAACATAGGAGCTATTCAGCTCTTGGACACTAATGTCTTTGGGGACATGATGAAAGCTAATATCATAATTTCTTACAAAAATTGCAACCCACTAATGCACACGCATGTTCAGCGATCATCCTCTCTACTTCTCAGAGTCTGACCTGCATATCGGGGCTCCAGGGGCGGAGATTGGATTTGCTACGGATGAAATCTTACTGCTTCTGAACCTGCCATTTGGATCCCCCAGAGATTCACAGTTGCAGATTTGAATGAAAAAATACTCAGAAATACAATTTCACACTAATTTTTCTCATGATATGTCCTGTAGCATCAGAAAAATGCCATATGAACACGTAGAAAACAAGAAAAACATGTTTTTTTTTAATCGGAGTGGGTCTTTAAAGTCATTAAATGCTCACCCTTTCAGATTATACAATCAACTATGAAACATAAAGAACAAGTGCAATCACAAGAAGCTACAGGAGTGAACTCTAAACAAACACAGGCGAAACTCAGATGGGCCACCCCAACAGCCCCCTGAAATCCTTAATCCTGGTTGTACTGAAATCAATTATGTACATCTTTCATATAATGATAAAACAAGATCCCAGTCATGGCTTTCTCTCTGTATCTGCTGATGAAAATAAGAAGAATAGAAAAGTTTGGGAAACTGAGCCGTCAGTCTAATGTGCCTGGTGGTGAAATGATTGAAAGTGTGGGTAAACTCGGATTAAGTACTCCCAGATTTTAATGCATTCCCAATTATTATTATTCCCCATAACTTTGCATGTAATTACGCTGAATCCCCCATTTGTGTGAAGAGATAAATAGAGTATCAATCAGTCCCAGCTGCTTGTCTCTGAGCTGTGCAGAGCTCAGGCTGAGGCCAGCTGCTGCTGCTGCTGCTGAGTGATAAATGTGCAGGTAGTGTTAGTGGAAACAGCAGGGGGCAGGGAGGCGGTAATTACCTGAACGTAACAACAATATACACTGGCACTGGTTCACACTCTGTAAAATACCCTAATATTTACTTCATTATGTCTATCATTTCTTTTGGAAATTATGACCCTCGTCTTTCTGTCTGAAGCTGCTGACCCCTCCAGAGAGGCCCCGTTATTCCCGCAGCAGCTGCCTTCTACCTTTGATTCCAAATATCACCCCTTTGCGACCCTGACCTTTGACCCTGGGTGGTAAATCCCGCTCTTGCTCAGGTACCTCGGCGCCATACTCCCTCAGGACCGGTACAGAACTTTTAATTGCTTATCCTCGTCTCTGTACAGACGTTTGTGGCAGTGCCGTACAAATTAGTGGGCCTGACGTGGAGCTGGAAGAGGACCAGTGCCAAGGAATAAATGGGAGTCCCAGTGGCCTCATTGTGTGTCTTGGAAAAGAAAACAGCCATGAAGAGAAGAAGAGGTTGGGTTCGAGGCTTTGTGGACTCTGAATATGAACACTTTTGAGCCAATTATGCAATAAAAGTAGATTTTTACAATCGAATGAGCAAAAACGGATCACTTTCTTTAATGGTGGTTACATTACAGGGCAAATTATTATGCCATTAACAAGAGTAGACAACCTTATAATTTGCAGCAGCTCTTTAAAACCATCTAGTTTTAGTATAATTTTAAACCGATATAATAAAATGACTTTTCTGTTCCTGTTCTACATTCCTAGTGAGTGCTACTTGTGATCAGAAGTTCATTTCAGCCTGCAAACTAATAAATGCAGAGTCAGGATCTCAGCTTCCTCCCTGCGAGTTGGTCCAATCCCCTGAACTGTATGTCTTTGATAATCCCAGTTCCAGCTCCAGACCACATCCTCTAACCCTGAGAGTCCTGATTTTGGTGAGTTGTTCAGCCTTTCTGGGGTCCTTTTTGGTCAACTCGCTAGAGCCAAGGCCTCGCCATGAGGCCTCGTACGCCATTCATCCATCCGATCAACTCCAGGTCTGCTTTCTGTCGCCAAACCCATGGAGCCGACCCTCGCAGCCAGGCTGCTCCGTGAAATTATAAAAACTACAAGTGGAAAACAAGCGCAGTAAAATGGCAACAAATCTGCTTTCTGATGTTTGGTCTCATAAAGAAAACTCACCCTCCTCCCGCTCCCTCTCCTCCCCTTTATTCTCAGAGACAGAGAGACTTAGAGACTTCACGTTCTCGGTGCTGGATGAGTACATTTTCAGGTTTCCACGCCTGCTGCTGCTGCTGCCCCGAGGCTGTCTTTTTCCACATTCAGCAGAGGTTCAGTTCCATCCTGGAAAGGCTTGATGGTGCTCCGCTTTCAGGCGTATTATCTTAATCGCTGCCAATGTGCCACAGGCTAAGAGAGGGCAGAACGGTGATTTATCCTCGGCTTAAGTGATTTAAAGATCTTTAAAATATTTTACTGCTCCGCTTCTCCTATAGGAGGCAAGTAGGGAGGAGACGGGTACGGGCCAAAGCACAGCTCACTATTCCTACACGGGATCCAAGCGCTACCTCTCAAACCCCACGATATGAGTTTTCAGTTTTAAAGATTCTCACTTGACTCACGTTTTTAGCTGCGTTGTTGCACATGGACTTGTGCGACGCGCTTTAAACTTATCAAACCGAGCCTGAAAATGAACAAGTATTCAATGTTCTAGGAGATTCTTGGGGAGTCAAATCAGAACTCACACATGAAAATGGGATCGTTGACTTCGCATGACTTTTAAACGAAAAGATTTGGACCTAAAATGCAACGAAACAAACGTCTCAATGCCTGGAGGTCTATCCAGGATTTCTGAAGACTCTGCTCACATGCATCTTCACATGTAAACACGATAATCATGAACACTGAAAGCCTAAATACAACTTTTCCTGAAGATTTCATGAACTGATGCTTTGTCATTGCTGTCAGTCTCAAACCCACAAGGCGTCCACCACTTTGGTTGGATCTGCACCCAAACAGCATAATGGTGCTGTAGTCCAGTATGAAACCATAAATCAATGTTGCAGAAATACAGCTATTCCTAGTGTGTCCAAATTAGGACAAAATCATGCATTTAAAAAAAAACGGTAGTAAACTGTAAAGTAAATAAACCTCACAAAGTGATGGTACAGTCTGTAAATTGGTTCCAGGTAGTTGATGGGGCGCTGCTGGCTCTGCTGGCTTAGCATGCCCCCCATAAGCCAAGGTTCGGTCTCATGGAGACAGCCGAGGTTTGGCTTTAGCTACTTTGTTGAAGAGGAACTGCCTGTGTATTCAGAGACACAGTTAACCAAAACAGAAAAAACCCTGTCCTGGATAAAGGTACAAAACCAGATCCCCATCAACGAAACTGTGGGCTGGGCTGAAAAACAAAATGTGTGGCGAGCATGGTGGGGGCAACAGATGGTACGAGAGAGAGAGAGAGAAGGAGAGAGAGAAGGAGAGAGAGAGAGAGAGAGAGAGAGAGATAGAGAGCTACACAGCCGCATAAAAACTGCACATTGCTGAATGCAGTGGAAGTCCTCACAGAGGAACACAGTTACACTCTTCACTGCTGGTGCAGTTTCTATTCCAGATTTAATGTTGAGTACAAGACCAGGACTGAGGTGACAGGTGGGTAAATTTTACTGATGGTGATAAAAGCACCTATTTGTAGATTTATTGAAAATAAGGTTTAGTTGGCACTTCTAGGGCATCAAACCGTCGTCCCAGAAATGGAGAGACTGATTCCATGTTTTATACGGTCTAGTTTTACTTAATTCAAGCCTTGTGTTTTATTTTACTTCACCTAATCGAACAGACCATTTCACCTCAACGACAAAGTAGAAAGAAAGGAAACAGATGCAGCTTTTTGAAGCACAAAAGAAGTGTTACAACGGCACTGAACACACCCTGGGATATAAAACACTGATGCTTTTAAGAGTCCAGTCTTGTGCAATAAGAGAAGAAAAGTTAAAGCTTCATGATGAACAGCCAAACAGATTATTAACTAAAACAATTCTGCGTACGGTCTGACTGGGTATGCTTCATAAATTTGTAATTATGCAAGAATGTGGAACAGACAAAACGGACGAGGAGGAGTCAAACTTGATGATTTAGGACGGAGGGACATGCAGACATGAGAAATGCACTTTCTGCGGTTTTCAAGGTAGATTCACGACGGTTTCTTGGCTTCTGGTTTAAAAAATGAAGAGTGGCAGGCGGGCGGGGGGCATGAGGGGACCTGGATCTGCTAAGCTGACATTGATGGAGTCTTTCAAGAAGTCATAACCACGCACGGAAACTTCTGCCCACTCTCGCATGCTACCACAAACACACACACACACACAGGTTGGAGCTCGTGCTGTGTGACTTATTTCTGAGCGGTGCCTGCATTTCACATTTCCACACATCTGTGCGTATGTGCCCATGTTGTTCTTGAGATGCTGTGCAGTGATACATCACACCCCTGAGGACAGTTGTGGCTCGATCTGCCTCCAAACTCTGGAAAGCTTATTTTTTAATGATTTCATTGCCTCATAATTGGCTTTGTTGACGGTTTCTCATTAGATACAACCTGCAGAAAGCTTTCAATCACTGCAGGCCTTAATCTAATCATGGTGCACAAGCAAAAATAAATCAAGGGCAGAGTGCGTAACAATATAATTCAAGCATCAATATACAATTTTATTATGGACAAGAGTGTAAAACGCCAAATACTGGATCTCAACACATGCATGCTCTAAATCCAATATGCTGTGTTTACATTCTGGGCTATTTTCTGCACCATATGGACGGAGCAAGGCCTCGCTAATCCTCATTTCTGAGGTCTGCCAGCATAGTGGAAATATTTGTGTGAATTCAAGTCAGATATGTCAGCTTCACTATATCTGAAAACTCCCCCAAAGTGAGGGGATGTAAAAGCTTAAGGGGGTTAAAGAAAGGGGGGTAAAGTGACTCTTTATTTTTAAACAGGAGAAGGAGGGAGGTTTCAGACCGTTTTACATCTTGGAGGGGATGTTTGAGGAAGCTGGAGCCACTGCCAGGAGAGCGTCAGCCTGCCACTAGATGGCAGCAGCACACACTGCTATCTCTCCCACTCAAATGCATGAAAATTGAACTTTTACACTCAAAAAGGTGTTTGAAGAGAGAAGGTAAAGCTATAAAAGTTGCACCTCATTTCTATTAGAGAGTATAAAGCCACAGTTTAACCACTCAAGTGTAAGAAACCGGTCTGACGTTGTCACCTGTAGGCCAGACCTGTCTGTCATCACCGGGACTGTTTTCCCTGAACATGTTTGAATCACATCCTGGAAGAAGAAAACAAAAAGGATTGAGTGCTAGAAAAGAAGGAAAGGAGGAGGAGGAGGAGGAGAAGGAAAAAAGTTTCAGGAAGAGGGTTTTTCTTCCATCTTTACACTCAGGAGCGATGTTTGGAGTGGAAACACCCAGGAGAGATAAGGTGGGACGTCACGTCTGGATTTCATCATGGCACTGCCTCCTGAGCTTTAGGATCGCCTCCAATTCGGCTAAACTCCCAGTTTAAACAACACTGCAGGAATCTGAGGTCACTCTCCTAAAGCAGGAGGAAAATATATAATACACGCTGTAGTCTTTAAAAAAAAAAAAGGAAAAGCAAACCTGCAACGCCGTAAATTAAAACAGGCTCTAACTAATGCAGACAGGCAGAGAGAATAAACAGAGCGCTGCTGTTAAAATGTTGCTCACCACAACACTGAAGGTTAAAGAAAACACACTCCATCACTCTCTGCTGTAAAGTGAGAGTATGGAGAGCATGTATGAGAGCCAGAGTTCAGGGGGAAAAATCTAAAAGAATGAGCGTTTTCTTTTTTTATATATATGCAAGCTCCAAAAACAAACAACAGAGGGAAAGTTATCTCATTAATTTGGATTATAAAGTAAAAACTCAAAATATCCAGAGTAAAGTTTGATTTTTTGTGTTTGTGATGTCTGTAAAAACAAAGAGGAAGTTTTTGAGTGGTACATTTTGAGGATGGAGTCAAAAGGCAAGAATTTAGTTGACATTTCAGGAATAGTGATGATGAAAAGTGGAGATTTCAGTCAAATATGATGAGGAAAAAGTTTTTTTTTTTTCTGTTTGTGTAATCAATACATGAAGAGTGACTGTTTTTTCAGGGTGAAAAAAGTCAAAAGTCATAAATTTAGTTGAAAAAGTTAAAAAAAAAGTTTGAAAAGTAGAAATTAGAGTGAAAGTGTTGGGGAAAAAATGTTTTTCTTAGTTTGTGGTGCCACGGGAACTGAATAGAGAAAAAGGACGTTTTTTTAATTCAATTTACACACTTATAAGAGACGTCTGTGTATCCAGGTCATGGTTATCCAAGTCTTCTAAAAGGGGAAACGGGACTTGTTGGGGTTCTTTCACCTCCTGAAAGGTTTCTTTAGTTCTGAACTGAAGTACCAAAGTAGGTGCAAAGATGCGAAAGTGTAATCCACATCAGGCTGAAAGACTCGGAATGAGGCGTTCACAGCCTCAGTTCATCATAGTCGTACAAGACCTGAAGTAATCAGCTGATGGACCTAACAAGCTTCTCAAGACCATGGTTTTGTTTTGTTTGTGGACTTATCGTGATATCGTATCGTGAAACTGTGATTTCATTTCATCCCTAACTCATCTTCACTTGGATATGTGCATTGTGTCTATAAATACATTAATAAACAGATAATACCTCGAGTGTTTAATGCGCTTAAGTTTATTTCTTCATCAGTAGAAACTACAGAATCCACCAGCAGCTGGAAGAGGGTCTGATTTTGTCTGATAACTAATGAATCGAATTGTTTAATGCAGATAATTTAAATGTGATATACTTAAAAACAACTTAACTCAGATTCATAAATGTTCTTTTTCATCCCATAAATTTACTCAGCATTGAATGTGGGCAGCTCAGTTGGAAGACAAAGTGACTGAAAGTGACTGAAACGCCTCTTATTCGACCTTTTTTAAACTGATCAAAAAAGAAAGATAACATTCGAAGAATTTTGAGGTCAAGGTAAAGACAAAAATTATTTGGCAGCCTGAAACCGTTTCTAGACATTTCAGCTTTATTCTAAAACACAACATTGTTTTGTTTATCCCGAGGGGAGGGCTGAGATTTATATCTAAAATCTTCAAGCTGATTCACCCCTGAGGCACAATTCATCGGACCCCTTTTTATGGCTTTCAATAAAACACGCTTTAAAAGATGTTCCTTCCTTTTGTCTGCAGCTCCGATTGGATCAGCAGAGCTCTGCAGAGCGAGGGGCCTTGGCCTGGTTTTCTCTTTCAAACTTGATCACATCCTCCTTAGCGTTCCTCCCTCCGCTCCCCCCCGTGATTGAATCTGTTTGCTTAAACAACCACTTAATTACAATTGCCATAATTTTTTGCGAGGCCACATAAATACCAGGCTGGAGTCATCCCACAAGTTAAGATATCTGACAGCCTGCCACTGACGCCCTGACCGGGGCTGTGAGAACTTTTCCTGCTGTGTCATGTTTGTGGCATCAAACGCTCACTAATTTATGGTCGCACATCCTGAAGAGGCCCTCTCTCTCCCTGGCTGTGTTTTCAAACTGAGGTAAACTGAGAAGCAGCCGTTTCGCTCCTCACGAGGTCTGGCCATATTTCAGGCGATAGTTGACCCCTGACCCCGGAGAACGGGTCAGACCCCGTAAGATTAAGCTGAATATTTGAGGCGAGTGCCACATGGGCTGCGAGACGGGACTGTTGAAGTGTCCCTTCATTAATCACAGCTTCAGCTTTGACAGAGCTGACCTCTGGATCGAGTTTCAGCTGCTGAATCAAAGCCGCTGATCGTCACCTAAAGACAAATGGTCGAGATTGTTCAAGAGACTAAAAATGGATGTAAATGCACCAAGTTTCGGTAAGACACAGGCACGTTTGCTCCTCTGAAAACATTTTGACTGAAAGTAAAGACTTTCATGACTAAGACAAACTATTGAGGGTAAAAATGATCAAAATGTGACCAAAACTAAAACTTAGTCCAAAGACTGGGGCTAAGACTAAATCCAAAACAGATGCCAAAATGAACACTAATTCAAAACCAGATTTAGGACTTGATCTGACACCCCTATGATTGAGGGTTTGGCTTGGTTTGGGGTTTGTTGAGACTGTTTTTGTATCGTAGAAGTACAACCAGTAGGTGTGAAACTTGCAGCCATTGCAGTGAACGGAAACACAACTGCACCCAAGCGATCTGAAACTTTTTCTTCCCAAAGTCAGGAAATCTGTTTGGACTTGATGTCATGCAAGACAGAAAATAAAAAAAAGATTTCAATTGGACATTTTAGGCGGCTTGATTGATTCATGGCGCCGACTCAAGCAGAGTGACATGAAAGAAAACGCCCTGCCTTTAAATTTCCAGAAGCTCTCTATGATAGCGGCACAGTGAATGTTCTTTAGTCTGCACTACACCCAGACTGGGATCACGGAAACTTACTGTGCCTTTGTTACGTTTCATGCAAGAACTCCCAGATAGGGGGTTTCTCGTGTCTGTGGACTCACTAAACGAGTAATTGATACCAAGAGCGTGACGTATGTGATCTGGTAGTTTCATGGAGTTGTGTAGTGTGAGTGTTCAATAGGTTATAATGATAAAACAGTCTGTCGGATAGTCACCTAATCTGACACCTATCCCATGGCATAAATACAAGCTGCAAAAATAACAATAACAACAACAACAAAAAAATAACAATGTAATAACAATAAAAAAAATCTTCGGCCTGATGGTCCTGTTTGATATTGAAGCTCATAGACGGGCATCAACATCAATATCTGTGTCTTTCATAACTAATTAAAAACTTCTAAGATCTTTGAATCACAAATAAATAAATAAATTTTCAAGAACTGCTTTACAAAAATAGAGGTGTTAACTTTTTTAATTTGGGTCTTTCTGCGACTTTATTGGCGAAAAAAGGACAGTGGTGGATAAAGCAGGAAGTTAGACAAGGAATTAAGCTGCAGGGTGGAATCAAACCCAGACCTGAGGCATAATCTCCATATATTGGTCGTATGCTTGGACCTCTAGGGCAGTTTTGTCTTCCTCACAGAGCCACAAAAGTCTTTACTTCAAAGCTGTCCTGCACTATCGTGACCCCCGTAACACTTTAACCTTAATACTGAAGCAACTTTTGACACTGTGTTTGTGCTTTTAGCATTTTGTGATGAAAATATCACATTTTTTTGGTGTTGTGAAGCCGACCTGAAAGCTGACCCACCGTGCCCTTATGTAAATATATGTAATTAGCTTCCTCTCCAACCAGCCAACTAATAAAAGTCTAAAAGCTGAAAGTGACCACTTTACTCCACGTAACATTTTCTCTCTTTCAGACCTCATGAGAGAGGCAAACATCCAGTTATTACTGAAATCTCATGACCTGGTTCAGATTTTTCTTACAGACAGAATCAAAACTGACTATATCTGCCTCCAAATCAACGCCATCTGCACATGAAACGGCTCTACTCATGAACGACTCGACTGAAAGGTTAAGTCAAGGTGTTCACATCCACCACTGGCGTGAGTAAAGCACAAACACACATATACATTGCAAACGCACACAGAAACACCTGTCCAGTCGTCACCGTTTTTACACCTCCAGCTGCACAGAGTCTCAGTTTCGACTTCAAGGCTCCCTTTAGCGTCAATGATTGTCAGAATATCGAGTGAGTAATGTGCTGTAGACGCGGCGGGGCGCTGAGGTCAACTCCTCAAACGCGGCGCTTGACAGGGTTTCATCCTCTGTCGTGTAAATTTGACACCTGTTTAATGTGACGTTCAAAACTCACAGATCCTACATAATCTCAGGGCAGTGAAAGCAGCATCAGATCCCAACAGTAACCAGCTCCAGTGTGGGGCTTGAAAAGAGGCTTTTGAAGGGAAAAAAAAAAGGTTTCAATGTTTTGCTTGGTAAGCAATGACACTGCACTTCTAAATGTTTGGAAACCATGTGAAAATGACGCTCACCCCCTGTCAGGTCAAAGGCTGGTTGAGAGAAATTAGAGACTAACTCTCCACAGAAAACTGTGTCTGTGGTCGGTTTGTTTTCATGGCTGAAAGATACACATCCAGGGTTTCCCCAAAAAGACAGCTTTGCCTTAAATAAAGAGTGACTCCGCTGAGTTACTGTAAAAAGAGATAACAGCAGAGACAGCATGGCTACTACAAAACTCAACCGTGGAGAGCCGGTCTTTTTCTTGTCCTGAAGTGAGAATATAATTATAAATGTGGAGTATTGCCAAGAGTTGTCAGTTTTAGCTCACACCAACAGCTGGACTCTCTACTGAGGAGGAGTGGGCAACAAGCACAGAGTGCCAGACCCTGAACAAACAAACAGAACTGCTGATATGATGTGAGTTTTGGATGATTACTTGCAGGTAAAAGACTCTGTTGTTGTTGTTGACTGTTAACTATGTTAGTTTTGAACACTTTGGTGAACGCCATAAGTCCTAAACATGGGTTAGTAAGAGAACTTTTCCCCAGAGGTTAATGCTGTAGCATGGAGCGTTTTATTCTAACCAAGCTAACATTTCTTTGGATGCAGATGAGGCAGTCCTCTACATGAAAAAAAGGACAGCTGTGACCAAAATTTGCTTACCTCGACTTTTTAAAAATTATCATTTTCACTTAAAGGCATGGTTGACGATTGGCGAGATTGGTAATTATTATGAACCTCGTTTCTATGGCGATCATGGGGAGAGAAAAGTGAATGGAAAAAAATCCGTTCACCCTAGCAGGTTTAGGGCTGCAAAAACATTGGCCAATGAGAGCCATCCATCCCAAACAGCTCCTATTGGTCAATCTCCTGCTCAGCTTCTCAATCCAATCACCTCGCTGTATTCGACACACCCCTCTCTCGTAGTTCCAACTCATCCCCTCTCACTCTCCCGGCCCTTCTCAGAGCTCTGAGCGGCTAAAAGTAGCGTAGAAGCTTAGCTACAGGAGCTGTGATGGAGAAAGACGCAAAAAAACAATTCTGCTTGCCCCACCGCCAAAAGTACTATAGATAGAAAGATTTATGATTTGGTGGGTTGCTGAATGGATGGTTACATGGATAAATAGACAGAACATACTGTACATGGTCGGATGGACGGAAGGAGTCTGCCAGTCAAGTTTACTGACATTATTCCACAGTGTCATTGTCCAAAATCAGGCCAGTGCAGCTTCTTCGAGCTTGGATTTATCAAACACACTCAGAACAGATTTTTAAAGTTTGAATGTGACTCTGTTTTTATTTTGTCACTTTTGTCTATTTCAGTCTATCCCCTCATCCCAAAGGAGAGACACTCAAACTTTCCAAAATTTTTAAACAATCCCAAAAAAGGCAAGTAAGTAAACGTTAATATATCTCAGAAGAATTTCTCATAATCCACTGATAGTATTTTATTACATGTACTCTTGAATAAAATTATGTTCTTATATAAACTGAACTCTGCAGACCATGAGTCACCACACTGGCCATATTTTCTTCAATTCTCTGTTTCCTCACTTTTATTACTTCACATTCAAAGTTGAACTGGACAAAGTTAAACTGCCTTTTGTTAACATGGTCGGGGATGTGAACATCTTGTTTGAATTAACTTTATTGGAATGTCACAGAGTAAAACAGACCGCAGAATTCTTCGCTTGTACGTCATGGAAGGTCAATTGATCCGAGCGTTAGAGCTGCACATTCTGTTTGTGCTGAAAGGATGATTCAAGTCCAAATGTGGGTTAACAACTGTTACCGACACTGGCTGCATGCTCGGGGTGTTGTAAACAACATTTCACAGAAATATGAAAACTATGCAACCTACAGTGGAGCTTGTTAATGGCTGCAGCATGACTATTAAGACCAAAGTTAGAGTGTTTGTTTTGATAGTATGCAGTACAAATAATATAAACTACAATTGCCAATATTAATCCAGCACTCCATACAAAATCCTGCAGTCTCTTCTTGCACACAGATAAAGGTCAAGCTGTTGTTCACCTTTTGTGCAGATCATATTCTCCCTGCTGTAAGTGTATTGTAATTATAGAATCGTCTTGCCAGAAATGGAAAAACCAGATGAAGTTTCATTGATAATGAAAGATTCATCAGGGATTTGTGGCTGTTTGAGTTCATCCTGGTTGGTTTGTTGGCTTATTTACAGGAGCTCGAGGATGAATTTATTCCTTTTATCTCTGTGAATGCCAAGAGTCGTGGGGTTCCACGGGACGGCTCAAGCGCTGCAGTATTTATTTATGTTTTCTGGAAGAGTCTGTAAGCCGTGAGACGATCCATCATCTGAGTTTTATCTGCAGATGGAAGAGTTTGAGGTAAACTTTTCTTAAGAGTCTCATCCCTCTTGTTTTGCCTGATACATGATGAGAAAGTGGGGCTTGAATTTGGAAGGTAGACAAATTCCTAATAATGTGGTTTGGAGCAATTGACGTCGAATCAAAGCAAAAACAATCAAGAGTCATTAGTGGGAGATAGTCAGAGCCCTCCAACCAGACTCCAACCAATTCAACTGGGTATTCTCTGAACCTCTAAGCTAAGAAACCAAACTGGCACTTCACAGGCAGCGCTCATTTAAAATGGAATACTTTCATGTTGATCAGATGGTCACAGCATGTGCACATAAAACCCTGTTGTGTTCATCAGCGAACAGCCATTGTTACAGAACCCGAGTTCAGAACATATCCTTGAGTCTGACCCGAGTTTCAGGACTCAAGAAGACTCAAGCATTGACCACATTAGGACTCAGAATATGGGTTGACCTTGCAAGAGGTAAAGCAGTGAAGTGAAGGCTCTGTACAAGGGAAAAGAAGTGAGCTATTCAGACTAGAACTGTTTTGTATCAGGCTGTAAACATGTTTGGTTTTGCTGTAAAGATAAGCTTTTTAGAATGGGTGTGTATGTGGTTTCTGGTGCTTGTGGAGCAGCCCCAAGTGGACACTTAAGGAACTGCAGCTTTTAGCACTTGCACTTGCTTCATTTTTCAATACCAGAAATTGCAACATGGCCGTCCATCTTTGTGAACAAGGATCTGGATGAACTTTACTCTCACTTCTAAGAACTTAAACTTGACTGGTGCCCTATTGGATTATTTGTTAGCTCTCCGAGACTAGAGCTGTTACAGTTTAGCTAATTTCAAGCAGAGCAATTTCTCGTTTGTCTCTAGTCTGGTGCATTTTCACTGCATATGTACAAGTCTTCTCGTAAAACAGGATATAGGATTTCAAGGAGATTTTACTGCTGATAGCTTTGCAAAGTAAGGGTTGGCCAGATTAGGAGGATTCATGGTAAATTCGACCAGACTTTAAATGTGATCGCGCTACATAAAAATTTTCTTCACTTTTGGTCTGAGAATAACATAAAATAACTACAGAGTAGGCTGTTAATCTCTGGTTTTAATGATTGATATTTGCAGAGTTTAGTTTATAAGCAGGGTAAACTACACGACAAAAGCAACGCCAGATACTTGAATCACTGAGCAAAACTGGAGACAAGTATGTTGACCTCATTCAGAAGTATGGTTGAGCCCCTAATTGTGTATTACCTAATGTTTGATATGGACTGCTTGCAACAAATGCTCTCATTAAAGTAATTTCCTACAGAGTCAAAATGAGATCAAGATTAAATATAGGGGAAAGAGGATCAAACGGACATGGTCCAAAAGATGCAGTGATGTAATGATGGATGCAAGAAAATATTTTCCTTTCCCTGCTGTGATCCGCTTTGATACGAGCAGTTGAAATTAAGATTAATTAGACAAGATATTTTATACAAACGACAAGAAAAACATACAAACATATTCAGCGCATGGACTTCGGGAGCCCAAAATACCCCAAAATTAATGACGGCATTAATCAGGGACCAGATGTACTACTGAAGATTATCATTATTTCAGAAATAAGGTAATTAGTTTTTCCCTTGAGGATATCTGATCTAATTTTGTCTTAACTGTTTATTATATCATCAAAAGCAGCTGCAAGGCCAACACAAGTCTTTTTATAACTATTTCATCCCTGCTTTTCTCTTTCTTCTCTCCAGGAGGAGTAATCCAGCAGGAGCCCTGATTAAAAACGGATGCCTCCTGACTTCTCTCCTCATTTCTCCAAGTTGAGGTCAGCAGAAAAACGAAGAGACGTAACACGAAAGGTTTCGGACTTGATTAGCGTTTTCTGTCGGGCTGGAGCTGATTCCTGCGTCGGCTAATTGATCCTACCGCTGTTTTGTTGTCAAAGCCAAGGGGGTTGTGTTCGTTGCCACGCTAAAAGAAATCGCTGCAACTTTAACAATGCCACGTGTGCTGAGTTCGACTCCAGATTGAGATTGGGCCATGGGAAAATATTGTTCCCCAGAGCCGCTTTAGCTCAGCAGCTCTATGTGTCATGGTGGTTTTAGGGGAAGGAATGTATGATGTGTATTACATGCAAATATTCCTCTGCAGTGAGGGACAAGACTGTTAACCTCAAAAGACTCTTCTCTCTAACCATCTCGTCCAGGCCTAATGGGTTTTCAACCTCTATTGTAAGCAGTCGTTTGTGATGCCACTATGTCTTAATCAGCCTTCTGAAGACTCTGCAATAAGTGATGTGGAACTGAACCGGTTCATTTCCTATCTGTCAAACAGGTCCTTTTCTGTAGTCCCTGGAACTACCTCCTCCTCTTTAATGTGGGGTCCCCCAGGGGCCTATCCTGGGTCCCCTCTTATTCACTGTGTACATGCTTCCATTGGGGGAGATCTTGCATGGGCGTGGTATTGACTTTAATTGTTATGCAGATGACACCCTGCTGTTTACCCCTGGCACCACTGATGTGTCAGGCACAATGATTTATTATGTAATCATTTTCTCTATACACTATATTTATCTTAAACTCACGTTTGGGATTTAATACGACTGTTTCAGTCTGTGGATTAAAACCCAAAATGCATTATGTGCTGAAACAGACTGTCCGTGTGTCCCCAAAGGGCTTCTGTAGACTGCTGTGAAATTGACAGCTGTTGCTGTAATCTGTCTGGTGGTGCTCATGAGTGTTAGTATTTTATGTTTTTGCCAGTGTGCATTTCTGGAGTATTTTCTGGTAGTTAAATAAAGTTACAGACTTCACTTTTATTTATATATGTTTGGCTTTTTGTGCAATCTGGCGGTTTATAGACAGCTTTTGGGCTGAAAACTGTCGTTTGTACACTGGCAGGACTTATTAGTAACATAAAACATTTACAAAGAGATTTCAATGAGGATGAGGAAATAAATTAAAGCTGACAGGTTGCAAAGGACTGTTTTTTCTTCACTCCTATATTTCAGCTTCTTTTACTACTTTGAGGCGGACATCAAGTGACACATAACTACACAAGGATTACTTTCTTCCCTGTTTTTCTTAATAATAGGTTGAATCTATTTGTCCACGTGGAAAAAATACATTAATCCACCAACAAAACAGCACAATAAACTTCAGCTAAATGATAAAAAGAAAGGCTCTACTTCCAAGTTTCCCATTAGCCACAGTTTGACCTCCTCTTTAAAGTCTGCTGCTCAGGAGTTCATCCAGTCTCTAAGGTGGTCTTTGAGATACTCCGGGTCTCTGTTATTGATCGACCGTTTCACACTGACAACCCTGAACTAACGTGTCCTGACACATCTGCGGGTTGTTTCGAGGTTTCGGGTCGCTGCTGGCTCTTGATTTGTCAGAAACATCAAAAAGTTGAAGCAATGAGCTTTTGGCCGGTTGATGCTAATAATAGTACGTATTACCCTGGGACATCTGATTATTATTAATAATTGCAGAGGACGCCTGTGTTTTTAATCATGCAGATTGACATATTTAAGGACACTCTGGGGTCTTTTGATAATAACTGTGTTGTTCTGGACAAAATGAGGCAACCTTGAGTTTCTGATATGAACAGATAAAACTATATCTGCAGGAGCATGTCGTCACCTCATGAAATAAATGCAAAAATAAAATATGTCATGATGTGCCAAGTCCAAGTTCCAGTAAATGTTGTTGTTCAGCTTGTATCTATTGAGTGTTTGAGGGAGTGTGATCAGAAAAGAAAGGGCTGAGCTGACGGTGGCGGCGATGGATACGTGAATGAGCGAGCTGCCAACTTGCTCAATTCACTGTTTTTTATTCAGTACTTAGCTTTTAACTTCACAGTCAACTCTTCATTGTACCCGACCAACAAGTAACCCGATCAGTATAGCCCGTGCATGACCCGCACTCACATCCACACATCACAGCCTATCAGGAGTCAGGGTACAGGGCCTCAGTCTGCAACAACTCCTGCCAACAAAGAGAGCCGATTCATGCTGGCACCATCAAAGAGAGGAGCGGCAGCAGGTGAGAGTATTAACATTCTTTGGTTAGAACATGAGGATGTGTTTATTCTCCTCTGCATGTCTAATGACGGCATCTGGAAACCAAAAACTCCTCTGGAGGAAACTCTTCCTTTTTCTGCTCAGTCTGTTCCCACATGACAGGATGGGAACATTTGGCAGCACTTAAAAAAACAAAGATGCACACCTGTTTCGCCGTTATGTCACAACAGGTCAGAGACACTTGTGGGTTTAAAGAGACAACGGGCTAATGTGAATACGTTATTAGTGGTTACATAAATAATAATTATGGGATAAGGGGAAAAAGGTCAGTATCAACGGAAGTACATCTGAAAGACGGGTAAGGAATTAAATCATTTAATTTTAACAAATGGTGGGGAAAAGATTTAAGGTTGGTCGGTAGAAATAGGAACCGTCTGATAACTTTTCAAGAAATTCCCTCAAAGAAAGACGACTGTCCGACAGAAGTCTGGTTCTGCTCAAGGTTTCTGCCTGTTAAAGGAAGTTTTTCCTCATCACTGCTACTTGCTTATAAGATGGGATTCAGTTTCACAGCATCGATCTTCTCTGTCTCGAGGTTCGGTCTTCCTGTATGGTCTAGACCAGGTTTTATGTTACACCTCCTGGGATAACATTTGTTGTGATACGGCACCGTATACATAAAGATCGATCAATTGTTATTTAGGGTTGATTCAGCAGAATAAGCTGACGTAATGCTAATATGGACTCGACCTGGTCCAGACTTTGACTCTTCTTTTGTGACTCTGACTCGACTGCAGAATCAGACTCAAACACAACGCTGGCTGAGATGTTGTTTGTAATATCAAAGAGATTATAACAGGAAACAAAGGTGGCCTTAAAATATGCAAACACTTCACTCGTCAGATAAAACTGTTGTCTTAATTTTATCATTTGAAGAAGTAAACAGGTTACAAAAATCATTATTTTTTCTGTTTTTTAAGGAAATGCACCATACATTTGATCATATATTTGGTCTTAAAACCACCTTCCTGTAGCCAACTATCGGTGTCCACATGGAGAGCCTGAATCCCAACAATGGTAGACGCCATGTTGGAAAGTTTTGACCCAACTTCACTTCCAATCAACCTTCGAAAAGCGACACCTGTCAGTCAGATCATCCATCTGTCCTTCTTCATGTATAAGAATCCATTCAACAAACATCCCACCATATTAAAACCGTCTCTCTCCTCTTTCATGTCGAGCTCTGTCACTTTGAATCACTTCTAACTTTAAAAAATTAAATCCCCTCATAACTTGGGGTTTTGCAGATTAGAGGACAAACTTCATTGTTTGCTGATTAAACAAACATCATTAATGAAAAGCAGCTCTGATTTATGCAGCTGCTGTGTTTGAAACAATATTAATCCCACTCTTGGCCTCAGTGAGAGCAGCCTGTTGAAATATTAGTCTGCAGGATGAACACTGGTGTTCATATAGTGTGGTTTATGGAGTTATTCAGAGGGATTGACAGCATGCCGATGACTGTCTCCAGTGCTCATCTGTTTGTCCACAACATGAGTCAGGAATGACTGTTTTTCTTCAGTGAAATTAAGTCCCGGACTGCAAAATAAAACCGTCAAAGTTCCTGCTTCTCACGATAAACCCTCGTGAAAATCATTAAACATGTTCTGCCGTTACTAACGGAAATGATCTGATGTATGTTAAGCCACGTAGCATGGGAACGTTTGCTATATATATGGGTTTGCCTGTTTATGGTTCCATTATGGGGGCTTTATGAGTCAGACCTGACACACCCAGTCTTCAATGTATGGCTAATTGTTCACCGAAATAAGAGCAGTGATGATAGAAGTACAGACATCATTAACTTGAGTAGAAGCAACAACGCCACAAGAAAAGAGTGCTGCCCTCTGAGATCATGTCCTTAATTCATGGTTTAATTAAAACTGCACATTGTTTTTGACACTCGGGCGCAGCAGACAAAAGTTGCGAACACAACACTGACAAGTTGATTCAGTAGAACTGTACATAAAAAGTTGTTTAATATCACTTTAGGAGGCTATGAAAACTTCAACAGAAACTTGGAGTGATTTTTTAAGGCCAGCTGAAACCCCTTTGGATCAGTCAATATCCAACAACTCATACAGTTTATGTCAGTCTCTCCATGCAACAGATATCTGCACACGAGGGCAGATAACAGTCCGTTTCAGGGCCCTGTCTGAGCGGTCTGAAATGCACAGTCTAAAGAACACTGTGGAATGTGATTTACAGCATGTCAGACCACTTTTTGGTACTTAAGCGGTGCACAGTCTTGGGGCCAAGTGAGGTGCTCATAGGAGGCTGGATTAAGTCTATCGGTTAGTCAAAGGTGTGTTTTCAAGAGCCAGGTGAACCTACAAGCAGACTATTTTCACAACAGTTTAGTCTGTCTGTACACAAGGATTAACAACTTATCCACTGGAACTTTCCCAATTTACAGATGTGTGTACATTAGTGCACAAACATGTTTATCAGAAAGAGAGTGCACATGGTGGAGAGCTTTGGCCGTATTTTTTGGTGAAATGATAGCAGTGGTGGTGCCCTCATCTTCTGGCATCCCTAGATCAGTCATACAAAACTGTATCATCATGTATGGAAAGAAGGAAAAACTGCTCGGGTCTCCAAGCCCTCTGACCTGGTAAAAAGTAGACTCACTCATACTGCATGCACTCCATCAACTCTTATGCCCGTCTAACTGTCGCAGTCATGCATCAAAATATCCAGAAAGTTCTGAGCCACTGACTTTAAACTTCAAACCTGATCCTAGTTGGTCTAAAGAATGGACTTTTCTGCTCCTTAAACACAGCAACACACCGTCTAGATCCTAAAGACTTAATGTGAAGGCCAAGATATCGATCAGCACCAACATAAGCACAAGTTCAGTCACTTTTTACAGAACAAGAGGATCATAGATGTCAAATTGAAGTCCATCCAGTCTTCTGACATTAGAGGTAATGCTCTCAAAGAGAAGTTTTTAGCCAATCACTGATGACACCAGAAGCTCAAGAAAGTTCCTATCAGAAGCTAAATGATTGAGACATCAGCCTTATAGTAAAGCTGCTCATTTACGCTGTACATCAGATATCCATGCAGTAAATAATGGAACTTTCCACCCATTCTTTGTTCATGTCCTTTGTATCACTGCAAGCCTACACTTATGGACCAAACATCTTAGCATCACTGGAAATCCTGGGGGTGGGGTTGAGTAGAGTATCCAAAAGTTCAAGCCAAACCAACGAAATACAGGGGAAACTTTTCCATCGAGTTGACAAAGTGAAGGACACGCAAGAGTGAGTGGGTGGTGACAGGTATATTGTTGAAAACATTTATATCTGCTATGATTGGAAAAAGTAATAAAATAATGTGATTCAAATGGAACAAGCAGATACAGACTTGAAGTGGAGATCAAAATAAAGTTAAAAAAAGAGACTAATTCTGGCTATAAATGTAACAGGTAAGAGGATGACCCTCCGCCTGCTGGATTTGAATACGGACTCAAGTCTGCTTTAATATTCACCATAAAAACGGAGGGTTTATAATTTATCTGTATTGTGTTTCTAGATTGTTTTACTGTTCCCAAGTGGTCAAAAAACTTGGAAGTTGAGTAAATGAACACAGTTTTTTTCTACCCTCTGATGCCAAATAGCTATAAATGTCTTCAGTGTCCGCAGCTCTCCTCCTCTAAAGCCGGGCCGTGAAAGAATCACTTTGGAAACATTCGTACAGAGCAGCTGAGGAGTAGCTGGACTCTGGACCCTTTAATCAGGGAAGAATGTTTTTCCAGGGGAAGAAACAGTTAAGACCAATTTCAGGCCTGCGTGTTGCTACTGCTTATTTGGCCAAAACATCTGTGATAGCAAGAAATGTAGGCCACAGCAGCTGGGAAGCCTGCGGCCCTGAGGACGGGAGGTACAGTATTCTGTGGACCCTCTATCTCAGACCAGAGCTGTGACTGATATTATTGACAAGCATCAATAATGTCCCACTAGGTTTTCCCACGCAGGGATTCAGGACGGTGCTGTCTACAACATGTTGTACAGTGTCGGCTGACGTCTCAAGGAAGCAATAATATTCTCAATATTTACAATCAGTACAATGAGAATAAGTTTTACTATCATGTCAGAGCCAGCATAAATAGGACATGGGTGTGTGTCTGAAGCTTTGGTCTGGGTGATTGTACTCAGATGTTTGGAAAAAAAAGGCCCTTGCCTGTTGTTCTCCGTAAAGAGAAACATTTGGATATCCTCAGGTAGCACATGGGAAAGGGTGTTACTGGAGTTCATTTTTATTGTTCAAGGTACCACTCGGATTCATCCAAGAAGCCTCACAACCTCAACCTTTATCCCAATATGACCAAAACCAGAGGAGAAATTCCTGGTATTGCTTTTGAAAGATGGGGAGCAAAGACACGTTTGAGGAGAGTTATAAATTGGGTTTGTTTGGAAAGATTTCACCATTTTTTTGTGATAGTGGATCTAGAAATAATAATAAAAATAATAATGAAAAAAATCCAGTCCAGTTTAGCACCTGGACTCTTCTACTACAGAGCCGTACTGTTGCAATATGTTCAGCACAAAGTTTGGCAATGTTTTGCTGGACTATACAAGGTCTTCCATGTTGAAGTCATTGTCTGTCATAGTTTCCGAAATGTCAACTCTTGATTCATTAAACCACGAGACAGTTTCCCACTTCAACTCAGCCCACCTTTAATTGGCCGAACCCTTGATAAGAGCGCCGAAAAGCCTCACTCTGCCCATGAACAACCTCACAGAGTGAGTGGGATATCATGGAAGTTGTTTTGTCATGCTCCTCCACCACTCATAGAAACAGTGTGCCCACAGAGTAATAGCTGGGATCTGGGAACATGGTGAAATCCAACTAGGTAAGTAGACATCAGCACTCGGAGGACATATTGTGAACAAATCTTCAGATTATCGTAACCACTCCGTTTAGAGGTGAAACCAAAATTGAGCGAAACAGAAATGTTTGTAATATTACCGCAGAGAACAGTACAAGTCAGCACAATGACCGCTCGTACTGCGGCGCAGGGTTGATTCAGAGGTTTGTAAACTGTGATGGATATTCACAACGAAAGATGGATTTGATTTTTTTGTTCAGTCTAACAGTCACATCTGATTTTGTCCTGAAAGTGAGTTTGTTTTTGAACTCTGCGACCTGATATGGTTTTTCGTCTCCCCTGACACCCTTTTCCCCATATTTCCTGTTTCCAATCCCTGAACCTGTTTGAATAAAACCTACAGAAGTAAACTACAAAAACCAGACTCACATCTTCTAAAAGGGTAAAAAGTTACACCTTTGTTTCAACACTTAAAAACTCACCATTATCCATTTGATCCCCACTTTCCACTGACCCATCTGACTGTCAAAGATCTGCCTCTTTCCACATGTGTCTCTTCGACTCAGATCCTTTTTTTGGCAGAGACTACACTGACTAAATAATACAACTATTTATTAGGTCATTTTGTAAAAACTGAACATCCGACGATTTTAATGCTTTAATGTGGATATAATTGATCAGGAATCTCGCTTCCCTGACACTGATCCCCATTTAGTGCTCGTAAAATCCTCTCTCAGCAAACCAGAACAACTGTCCTTATCTACAACAGGATTACTGGTGTCTGCTATACATGCAGGTCTAAAATTATTCACTGAGAGTACAAATACAACCACGAATGCAAACGTTTAAACCCTAAATTAGTTTAGTGCTTTGTACTCTAATGCGGAGGGTTAGCAGCTGCCCAGCTATTACACATTATACGGTAATGATGGCATGATATATTAAGTACTGCAGTACAGGAGTTGCATTCAGAGCATAAATTGCATCAGTCCAAAGCAGAACATTGATTTAACTATGTTTTATATCTGTGCGGTAATAACTTCTTCCACTTTTTGTACGTCAGACTTGCACAGACGGTGTTATATAAAGGAGTTCACCGAGTTCATGACAGAGATTTGTTTGGAGCATATTTTCCTCGCTCTTCAAAGCCACTGTGAGTAAGTCTTCACTGCTTTTCAAACAGTGTCACTGTTACACCGATGCCTCCTCATGACCTACATAGTGAAATGAGATTATCAGCCACAAAAGAACCGGGTATTTCTCGGTGTCCAGGTCAGATTTTCCTCTTAAAAAGCCGAGTCGATATTTGGCGCTTACCTGGAAGTTCCTATTTGTTCAGAGCTCTGCCGGTGAAGTTTGGCTATCAACAGTAGGTTAGCAAGCAGGAGGAGATTTCTTCTTTAACTTTTCTTCTATGTAATGCTTTGTACTCATGGCTGACGCATAGCTATAAGTGTGGTTGTGACAGATCCTGATTCCAGCATGTTCATCCTCTTCTTAAAGCCCTGGTTCTTGTTGACTCTGTTGTCCTCACAGATGAAGATCGCCTCAGACTCTATGTTTTTCTGCTCTTGTACAGATCTGGACTTAAGTTTGCAGAGAAACAAGTAGTGAAGCTACGTTTGTGTGCTGTCCAGGTTTGGCTTCAGACATACTGTAGGTAATGAAATCTGCAGTATTTTAATTCCACCAAACAGAGGTTATACTCCACATGACCTTAATTGACCTTTTCTATACTATAGGTGTTTTTTTGGGGGCCTTTATTTTGAAAGGACAGGACAGGGGGGTAGAGCAGGAAAGAGGGTCCAAGGGTTGTCTGAATCATTGGATCAATCTTTATTTTCTCTCAGCCCCCATCAGGTCACCTTTTAAAAGCTAACTGACTGCATTAATATCAAGTTTACAATATTTAGCCATTGTTTGTCACAGCTTATATTTCACATAGTCTTAGATCAATACATCAACTCGTCACTCGACATCCTGCAAAAAGTTCTGCAGCACAAATAAAAGTGTAATTAAAAGAAAAAAGATCTGCGTCCCATGGATTTTTTTTAGGGCTGGGCGATATGGCCTCAAATCAATATCACAATATATTGAGCAGTTCACCTCGATAACAATAAATGGACGATAACTACTCCACAAGCTGCTCACCCCCTCCCACAACATAAACACTCCACTAGTGTTGTGTCGTTCACGAAGGATTCGTTCAAAAGAACTGAATCTTTGAGGTGAACGTACTGAACCGAATCACTTCCTTGAGTGATTCGTTCGTTTCACACTTCAGTTGAGCTGAAGTGAGAAACAGCATTGCCAGACCAGCAGCCGGCGAATGAGGGACCGCATGCATCGACGCCTGAATCACGTTTACCAAGTAGTTCACCAAAGGTAGTTCCTGACAAAACTACCTTTTTTTTTACTGCTAAATTGCCACCACAACAACTTTCATACAGTAGGACACAGCGTGTAACAAGTAGTGCATTAAACCCGCAGCATCCTATCATTGCAGCGGTTTGCGAGGTAACGGTGCATGTTCAGTGTGAACTCTTCTAAACGTTCAGTGAATGAATCAACGAATCTTTTGAACGAATCTTTTCAGTGAACCAATTCTAGTGATACGGTACATCTAAAAGAACTGCCGTGCCCATCACTACACTCTACCTGGGACTTTGAAAAGGTTTCTTATGACATTGACAGAAAATCTTGTATCCAAAATCACTAATATTTGAAGCTCTACCTGCATTTATCCAACTTCAGGAGTACTTACAGACCACAGCACAGCCATGGTCCCACCCACAAACCAGAAACCAAGAGGATTAAACTGGTGATGGATTTAACAAAGGCTCCTCTCTTGTGTCACAGAGAACTTTTAATTGTAGAGGTTGTTACTGGTGAGGATTAGTGAACCAGGTTAGCATCTATTTCGTGCACCAAGGAAAAAGTGTTTACAGCAAAGACAGAGATGTACACATCTTTGCATCATCCCTCTATCAGTTGCGATGACTCATGGAAAAGAGAAAGTACAAGAACAGTACAACAGCCTAAAGGAGGTGATCCAATCCCTGATGAATCTGCAGAAAACCCTTTAATGAGCGCTTTTGCATAATTTGAATAATGCTTCACTCAGAGTTTATACGTGGCATGAGACGTGGGGAACAGCAATTTTAAGATGAGCTGGCGAGAGGCTCACCCCCACCGGTTTCCAGTGATTAATTCCCAGTCATGTGTTCCTGATCATCTGAATATTTCCACAGTACTGTAAAGAGGAGTCCTGACGTGACTCAGGTCTGCACGCAGCTGTGAGACCGAACACATCAAGGACAAAAGAGGGAAAAACGGCCAACACTCAAAGAAAAATATTACTCAACAGATACCCCGAGGAGACACTTAAGCCTGAGCGTTTAAGAGTCAGACCTCTTCTAATGGAAACCTTAATGTCACAGGAGTGTGGTCAGCGCCCAGTGATTGGTTCTGATTTAGCGGTGACCCCCTCCAGTGTATTCTTAATTAGTCAGGGAAGAATCAGCTATAATCGGACTGGTCTGTAATTCTGAACAGGACCAACAAAGGAGCCGTTTAATCATGAGCGCCACTTCAACTTAAAAAATACTGGATTTGTCTGAAGAGTTCGCCTTCACACTTGTTTTGTTGTTTTGCAATGTCAGTAAGACTCTGCAGGAGGTCTTCACCAGGTTACTGTTTATCAGAGAGTACATGCTGACATGTAAATAACCTCTTTTGATTTGTGCGACTGTGCCATGCAATGTGCAAATTATGCAGATGACATTGTCCCGAGCTAAATGAATGAGTTTCGTGAACAATCAAACTTTACTTACAACTAATTTAAAACAAGATCTAAGTTTAAGAACACTTTGGCCTAAGACTAAAAAGTGAGAACAAAGACTCTTCTTCAGCCATCGTAATCAGTATCTAGGTAGAAGATTTGAATTATGCAAAGTATGAGTATGAAATATGACTGGGGTCATTTAGTTCATGAATCAGTGTTACCACTTTCACTATTTGGCCCCAGGATTACAATTTGGTTTGACAAATTGTTATGTTTGCAGCCATAGACCAGAAACCCCAAAGAAGCCACCTGCCAGGGCAGTAGCTCTCAATTTTAGCTACTATTACATCATATTAGAACCTGATGATCTACGACCCGGATGTAAACAATCAAAGTTTAGCAAAAACATGTATTTGTTCTGTGTCTGAGTATTTCGCTGATTTGGAAACTGAAATTAATTACAAAATTGTATTTGACTTTAAAAACCAAACCAGACTATCAACAAAGACTGATTATCTCTGTGCAGTTTTGTTGAGTGTAAGGCTGCAACTAATGGCTATTTTAACAGTCGACTCGTCACAGACTATCAGTCTGCTTTGCAAACCTTGCAAGTTACTTTCTTTTACGCCTTATCTAGGCTAAATTGCTCCCAAACTTTAGTGATTTTTAAGTGCGTACTCGTAGCTGCTGTATGGGAATTGTGCTTGTGTGACTCTAGGCAGAGATTGTATTGAAGATCGTCGCCTAATCGTTGTAGCCCAAGTAGAGTGTCTATAAACATTAACAGGGGGAATGTGACATATGATACCGTTAAAAGCATGACTAAAATCACCTTTTTGGCACTAATACTATGTTCTTAGCATATGCAGGAAAAGTTCAGCTTCAGAGATCATTCCTGTTCCACAGAGGGCACCAAAACCAACAGAGCCTCAAAGCACAACAAAGAAGCTTTTATGAGTCCAACTGGATTGTGGACAGAACATTAGAAAAGGAGAGCTGTCGAGTTATTTTGGATGATGTTCATTTAGTTATGTCCATTTGTGCAGGTTTGACTCAGAACTGAACATCCATTTATTTCGAGGCCACAGCAGAGGACGTGTGCTGATCGCAGAAACACTACAGAGACACTTGTTCGATCAGTACTCTGCTAAATCAGACTCAGACTAAAGAAACCAATAGAAATGCAGACTCAGGTACACAAATGGAGAACTGCTCAGAAGTCCAAGCTAAACCAAGCTGGCTTTACTCAGACATCTGCAAACGGAGAGCGGGGCTCTGCAGAACCATCAGTCAATGCAGTAACTCGGTACATTTGGGAATTAAACTCGAAAATCTTTACATTTTGAGACTGTACATCCCTCCCTTCAAATTTAAAATTCATTTTCCAAGTGTTTCATACGCTCTGCCCCTGCAATTGTTAGCAGCTGTCCAAGAACTCAGACCATATGTGAGGAGTTCTGTGTAAATATTGTACCAGGGAAGCCTGCTTTACATTTCAATTACAACATTTATACAGTCAGCAAACATGATACGCAGGAAAAATGGCAGAAAACAGACTCTGCCCGCCGTGAGCGAAGTGTACCAGGAATATTTAGTGTGATTTTACGGCCCTGGAGGTCACCACACTGCTCTGGCACACTCCTGATTTAAGGGCTAGATATCTCTCTACACAATATCCTCCTTTATGTGAAATCCCCTGAATACGAAGATACTGTTATATCAAGTTTTGCCAAGTTTGGAGTTTTTTAATACCGTATAATTTCCATTTGCACAACTTGGATTAAATATTTCTGTGAATGTCCAAAACAAGTATGCGTCTTACGTCCTTTTTTCGACTCCAACGGGTCCATCGAGCAAAAAAAGTGTTAATTGTTGGCACACTGTTGTACTGATTACATTTTAAAAAGTTTATTTTACAGTTAATGTGACTTTCTGTTGCTTCAGTGCATGTGCAGAACAGTGTTTTAAACCGCAGTCTGTGCTGAAATGAAAAACACTATCCCGTGCCCAGTGAATTACCTCTGGCACCTTCGGCGATGTTAAGGAGCCAGAGCCGTCAAAAACAGTAGACCACCTTCAGAGGGGTTTTTGGCGTGTGAACATCAAACTTCTTGGCGGGTTTTAGGGGGATTACTGATGATATACAAGATGGATGTGAAGTCGTTGTTGCGATTTTCTTAGTTTTGGATCGTCTTTGCTTGATCTGCCACTTTTAAAGATGCCGTGGTTTAGTTTGGCCTTTGTTTTGAGTTATTGCGGACCCGGGGTGAGAGCAGGGGTGGTGAGACATCAGTGACATCATCCAAAAGCCGAGATAAAGTTACGACAAAATGACAGATTGGCAAGAAAAACCTGACAGATTTACAGGAGACGAAAACCTTCAACGGTGAACCTGAAGACTGAAAAAATCGCTAATGTTAGGAGAAGCTGTCAACAGTTGTTGAGACGTAGCCGTGGGTACTGTTATTTCAGGACGAGAGCAGACGGAAACAATCTTTCACTGTGAATGCGATTTTATCACAAGTCAACACGTTTTCTGAAACTTTACCTGAGGGGGAGTTCGCACAATGCAGATTACTATTCCAGTGTTTTCAGTCAAGGTTTCTGATCAATACAATTCCCAACAAGTTCAGGTGTATCAACTGTTTTAAAAAAAATGGGATTAGCTTTTTTTATGAGTTTTAAGAACCTGAATTGATTCAGGAATCTTCCAACATCCTTTACACCCCATAACCATCCAAAGCTGTGTTATCACATTCAACTCCCAAAACCCAGATTTTTGTGTGTATGCAAAGAGCACAAATGTTTGCCCCAAACTGAACTAGAAATTATTTTCTAATTATTTAACTTTACCCTGAATTTTTCACAATACCTGAATTTTACCAATTTTTCTCCTGAAATCCTGAATTTGAAAACTTTTTTTTCCTGGCTCTTGAATTTTCCACTTTTTTTTTTCCTTGAATTCTCATCTTGGGTTTTACTCCAGTTTATAACATCATTTTTTCATGAATCTTAAGTAATACCCAGACTTTAACCAGAATTTTTTTCTGGAATCCTGAATTTTACCCCACCTGTTTATAGTTTTTTCCCCCCCTAAATCCTTAATTTTACCCCAACTTAACCCTTTTTTTTTCCCTATATCCTGAAATCTCCCCTAAAATATCCCAAAATTCATCCTGAATCTTGAATTTAACCCAACTTTACCAAGAATTTTTTTCCTAATTCTTTAAATTAACTCTACATTCACCCTGAATCGTGTCTGAATCTTGAGTTAAACACCAAATTATAAGAATGTCTTGTCACAGGAGGAGAAAGGCAGGGGATTTTTGGGGAAACTCATGAGCAGCAAGATTGATGATGGTGATTTCACAGAGCTGGTGCACAAATAAGCCCAAGAGCAGAGTAGCATGCATCAGGATGAATAAACTATCAGAGCTTAAAGAAGGAGAGTTAACTCTGAGGAGAACAGTGAAGATGTCTGTTCATCCATTTGTTGACATGTAACATTGATGGAAACGCAAAAAACTCTCATCAGATTATTGTTTTTTCAGATTTTATCTTGTTGTACACTTCACATCGTGGTTTCAAAGCTTGTTTTCATGCCATGGCCAGCCTCCACTCACTCACCTCTCATCCCTCATCCATTGCGGGGAGATTGTGGAGGACATGCCTAAGCACAAAAACTCTGGAAATTATCTAAAACAAATAAAAATAAAATTCTTGAATGAATTAAACACTTAATATTACACAGACAGAAGACAAATGGACCAAGAGGCGTCTTTATCTCGCTGGGTTACTCACATGTAGCCTAAAAACAGCAGAATTTATGATCAAATCTGATATGCTGTGATTACCGGAGACAAAAAATCAAAATGCTTTTTCCAAACGAACTTCAGTCAGCCTGGAGCCAAGAAGTAACTCAAATATGAAACTGATATGAGCTGGATGTCAGTGCTGCTTTATAAAAATTACCCGAAAATGGAGTTAGAGCATTAAATACCTGATGACAACCTGTTTACAACCAGGAAGCAGATGTGGAATCATTTGTTTTCACTCTACGTGTTACACAGAGGCTGATACAGTCAGTGTAAATTATCCAGAGTACATTCTTCTAAAAGTTGGAGGATGACACAGCAGAGAGTTGAAGTTCAAGTTTAAGTTGAATTCAGAGATTTTTTTAAACATGTTTTGGAGAATCTGTAACTTTGTTAGTTATGAATAACAGATTCAATAACAGAGTTATTGAATGAGTTAAATTAAGTTTGACTTGTCTGACTGTTTTGTTTGGCTTAATGAGTTTTGTAATCTGGTGCGCCTTATAGTGTGAAAAATAGGGTAATATTATCTGCAAAATGCCAAAAAAAAGTCTGTTGCACAAACTTCTTAAATAATAAAATATTGTATTTTTATTCAAAAGTGTAAGAACTGTTTTCTGAGTTTGTGTCTGACATCTAATATACAGTAGTTTTTAAAAAGGATCCACAAACGATAATAACTGCAGCCAAACAGTTAATGCAGGCGACACCTCAATTAAACGACTGACTTCTCTGAAACAGAATGATCAAAAGCATCTCGGAGTTGAACCACCAGCAAAGCTGTGATTGGGCCTATCAGACGACTGGATTTAAGATCCCCGAATTCCACCAGAGCCGTTCAGTTTGTCTCCATGGCAACCGCGTAGATAGCTTTTCACTTTAGTCAACATGTTTGGTCTCTGTGACTCTTTTACTGTGTTACATTTCAGCTCTGCTTCTATTTTCGGTGGCCACCAGAGAAAACCATTGATCTTGTACCGAACGCGGGAAATCCTCGGTCTTGTGACTCAAGCTTCCCAGCAGTGCTGCACTCTGAAAACGCAGCATGGAGCGGACGGATCAGGGGGCCAAACACAGATCTGGGGGAGTTCAGGTCTTTAAGGCTCCACGGTGATGTTCATGTGCCTGTTGGTGCCTTTGACGTCACTTTTGATGCTGCTCATATTTAGAAATTATAATGTCATATGTCGCTCTGTTATACACGCACTTATCTATTAATTTACAGCCTGTAGTCCCTCTAAACCACCAGCTAGCTGCTCCAGAAACCCAGATTTTCAGAGTCTCTGTCTGAAATAACCTCCCCATTCAGAGGGCACTTTCCCCCTTAAATTTACCCCCGAGCAGTGAAGGGAAGCTTAGCGCACCGCAGCGAGGAGCTCGAACATAAACTCCACACTTCATATCACTTATCAGCTCGTTGGTAGGAGCGAGCTTCACCACGGGGGTCACCGCTGCTTTCTGCAGGGCAGACAATACTTCCTTGTCTGGCCCGGCTGTGCCTGTCAAAATGAGTGAAAGCTTTATGAGCACAATCATAACATTTTCATGTTGCTTTGCAGCAGGGTCGGTTTTTTGGCCTCTTTCGACCTGTGTGGCACGGTGGGTTTTCATGGGAGTGGAGCTGCTGGTTGGTACGGGTGAGGGACCTCCGGCTCCCAGCGGAGGTCTCGACTCCACGGGTCACAGTGAGGTGGAAAGATACAAAACATAAACTTATCCAAAAAGACGTCAAAGCTAAGCTGATGGATTCATAAAATCAATAAATCCCAGCAGCCGAAGGGAGCCGGGGTTCGATTATTAAAATGTCCACATGCCTACTGCTGTGCTGGTGTTAAATCATGTCTTTTGTAATGGGATAAACATGACTTTGCTCCTGATTCAAAAACAATCTGTCGCCTTGAACCTCCCTGCAGAGGTCGGTCTGTCTGGCACTTGGCCTTGGCTGCTGCACCTGCAGCTTTATGACCAGCAGACTGTCGCATTTTCAAGTGCGTATCACCAGAGTGTCCTGCTATTTCCTGACAGGACAGAAGTATCAAAACACAACGGGAAAAAAGGGGATCTAAGTGGATTTGTTCGCCTTTTATTTGATTGATAAGCCATAAAAACTGAGGCTGTAGTTTCTCATCAAACATACTTGAAGCGTGTGATCACATCCAAAATAAAAACACCTGCAACTCTCTGCTCTTTTCCTCGACGCAAAACATGATTTATGATGGTCCTATCTCCAACTTCTCTTTTTCTCACTTGAGTATAAAACATTCATGCTTGATTTTGTGTTGATTTTATGTCAGTACTCCCAAAGCAGACCCGGTCTGTCTGCTTTCAGAACTGTTTTCTGGCCATAAATAATAAAAAAAAGGAGAGTCAGCCACTCTTGTTCTTCATCCCTGCAGCTATAAAGTGTTTTGAAGCTGTTGGACTTTCTCCTGTCAACACCAGGTTGTTGTTTTACCTTGTAGAACCTCTGTGGCATTAGCAGAGGCTCCTCCTTTATCCTCCCTGTCTGTGATGGGTTTGAACCAGTATCAACAAGGTCAAAGACCAGATGGGGAAGAGACTGCAGGACAGTAAGCCGCGGATCACGATCATACCTACGAGTCAGGGTTGGTCTGATTGCTTCATCTTTGAGAGGGAGACCTTTCAGGGGGTTCGAGCAGGGACCAAACAAACAGATGGAACATTTTTCCAGGACGAGATAACAGCAGAGCGATGAGTCGGAGCAGAGAGGAGACACATTAGTGAGACTCTTTTAAATCCTCGCCAACAGGGTAGAGTTACGACCGGAGAGAGAACAAAGATCAAACCTTGATTTTTTGAATTAGCTGCTGGATTGTAAATACTCAAACATCACTACAAATACTCCTGTATTTGGGGGGCGGCAGTAGTTTAGGAGGTAGAGAGGTCATCCAACAACTGGAAGGTTGGCGTTTTCCCCCTTTTCCTAGTCTGTCTGTTGTGTCTTTGGGCGAGACACTTAGCCTACCTTACTCCCAGCGTGTGTCGTTCACTCATGTAGGAGTACGTCTCTTTGGCCTCTGCTAAATGACTTTGTAACTTCTCCAGGTCCCAGTTTTTAAAGGGATATTCTGGCGTAAAATTAAGTTAGAGTCAAACGCACCGTAACACCAAGTTAGACTACCCCCCGTACTTCATCATTTTCTTGAAGTAATAATCATCATATTAATTATTTTGCACCCAGGCGCGGTAGTTCTTCTGCTTTAGTGTCTCTGTCTGATTACATTTACATGAAGAAATTATCATAAATGTTCTTCCTTGAGCTGCGTCCCCCCGCTGCAGTCGATGGACTTGCCCGGAGGTCTCCGTACAGTAGGTGAGTTGTGTTCAGTCTCTTTGCTAAAGAAATCAGGCAAAGTAAAAAAGACGTTTGATGGCTAGTACTATGGCTGTGACCCTATATGTCCTGTTGTTGAAGTTAGGTGCTGTTCTGAGCATTATTTGTGGCTATAGAGTGGCGTTTTGGTTGAGCGTGTGGCTCTCTGTATTTCCATCTGTGGTCGTTACTAAAGTTGGTTTAACTAAAGAAGCAAGCGGTCAGCAACATTCATCTCTTAACGGGGTGTCTAACTCACTGTTTTGACCCTAAATTAATTTTACGCCGGAATATCCCTTTAACTCTAGTATCCCCCTTTTTACCAGGGTGGCCTTTGTGATCGTTCAGGGCTGGTTTAGTCTGTGAACCTGTTTCAAAACCAGTCTCCTTTCCTCATCAGTATTGGGTCACTCCTGGTCTCCTCACTGCTGTGACCTTGAACCACGTTTACGGACTCGACACGTAACCACGGTTTATTGCATTCGCAGGTTCAGATAAGCATTTTGGACGCCCAGAGTCGATCTCAGGAGAGGAATTTCAGCGTCCGTGAGGAGCTTGCTCAGCTTATGGAGACAACAGCACCGTTAAACCGTAACCCGATCGCCCATTGAGAGTGAATTATTTTGCAGTCTTGCTATCACAGTTGATGTTGGACATGATCGGAAACCAACTCCAGCGTGTTACGAGGTCCAAGCACAGGAAGCATATCTCTATTGAAACTTGACGTAGAAAACAGGCGTGCTGCACAGCCACCGGTGGGCGGATGTTTTTCCTGAGGTGTCGCTGGATCTTCCGAAAGCACTTCCTTTTTTTCTGGTTTGGTTGTACATTCGATCGATTGATGCAGCATCTGCTGCTGCTTGTGATTACAAACGCAGTTACAAAGCCCAGATTTATACCAATGTTGGGAACAAGCTTTCTTCCTAAAAGCTTCTTTTTGGACCTTATTAATCAGCTGGGAGTATTTGATGACAAGTCCCAGAGTTTCTACACACTGAGAACATGTCTAAATACAATGATATCTTATTACTAATGTATTTATCGGAGACATTTTCCCAAAGAAAACAGAGTTGCAAATCCACCGAAAAGAGCCAAAAGCTACAAAATCACACGCTGATGCTTTACACTTGTTTCTCCTTATAAAGCCTCGAAAATATTTCCACCGAGTTTATTTCCTAATTGGAAGTTTTAAGTGCAAACACAGGAGTGACTTTATGTCTGTTTTTCTCTTCCTATAGTCTCAGCAGCAGAAAACAAGACCTCTGGGAGAGAAACGTAATCGTCTACACCTTGCTGAAAGTCAGACCTGTATATTAACAACTTACAGTCCCAGCAGTTTTTTTTTCTCTCTCTCTCTTAAATGTGCTGATTTATCCACCATGTGCACATCCCAGTCCCTGAGACGGCTTTGCATAATATGGTATTTGACAGCCGGATGTGATATGAGGAAAAGGAAATAGGATGAAAAAAATTCCATTTCAGCGCTGGACTCTGAACTTGGAAGAGCTAATTCTTCTTTTTTTTTTCATCTCCAAAGTGCCAGGTGTAAATCCGCGTTGGCTCTGGGCCTGACAGGATACAGAGGAAGGGGGACGGCGAAACCTTCAGAGCTCAAAGTGAGCCCCATTGAGTGGGAGTTCTGAATTGACTTCTGATATGAAGAGTGTCAGTTATATCTCCCGGCTGCAGATGGATGAGGTCTGCTTTGATAGATGGAACTGCACCGAGCACCTGGACTACTTTTTCCAAAACTCAGGAGAAATAAAGCTCAGGAGTTTAGTAGTACACGCATTAAAGTCAAAACTTTTACTTCTGGCTTATGTTTTAATGTCCGCCTGGATTCAATGGAGCCACCAGAGAAACTTTTTTACAAAGACAGCTCCTCTAAGACGGCTTAAGTAAGGAAAGGTGAGGAGACACATCCTGCTGGCTGAGGAGATTTACCAAATCACGGCTTAGACCTTCACTGGTTTAAATCTTACTTTGCATCTCAGCAGAGAGTCTTTGCTGTTTCCTTTCAATTGAAGCATAAATATCACGAAATATTTTTAAGTTGCTGAGATTCCTGTTTGCTGCGTTCATACATCTGCAACAGCGACTGAAACTCAATCTAACGACTGTTTCCTTCCTCTAGTCATCAGTAACTGCAGTGGAAAGACAAATACAGCGTTAAAAATGCTGCTTCTCCTCAATCAAATAAAAATAATTCACATTAAAGATTCACTGTTTGCATCGACGCTGAATGGAGAGGTCAACTTTAGGAAACGCCTTCTCCTCACATGCCTTCAAGTGTTTTTTATTCTCCTTTTTTCGTCTTTTAAGATGCTCAATAATCTAAAATATGGTGACCATATTCTGACTTCCCAAAAAGAGGACATGACTACATGGGGCGGGGTCATGGAGTCACATGAAGTTAATTTTGAGAGTTTTTCGGGTTGGATCGGGTGTCTTTTACACGCTTCTAACTCAGTAAGTCCACGTGACACAAAATCAAAACTTATGTACAAAAGCGCAGACATTTGAAGGATTTCATAAACTTCCCCGGACAAACCTGGACAGCCCCTAAAATAGAGGACATGTCCTGGTAAAACAGGACGTATGGTCACCCCAGTTTAGGCTACTATAGTTACTCGTCACAGCACACAGACTCCCCGGGCTACACACCTTTTGACCTACTGCTCATTAGGCTAATGCTACACAACATGGCGAACATCAGGCTGCTAACGATACATTACAATCACCGCACCATTTCCAAGGAAATAATGAAGTACTCGGCCCAGTACATGTAACAGCAACACACCCTGCTCGTAATGAACAGAGTCACTTATCCAGCAGTGTCAAGGAAACATGGGTGTCAGACCTCAGTCCAATCTCCTCCACCAAGGAAAAGCAACGCCGATGTAAATCTGCGTTAGTCTTCTCCATGTGACACTCTCTTTCTTCGCCAACAGACCTTCTCCCGAACAGAAAGGCTTTTTCTTTTAAGTAGGATCCACTTCTGAACCCTCTTGGTTCCCTCTTTGGGTTCTCCGCCATGTTGCTAAGGTAGAACCGAGTAGAACACGTCATTTCCTGCAAGCAAGCGCAAGAATGTCGCCCCTCGACACCAAATACAAAAAGAAAATTTACTGATTTAGAAAATTTTGTATCAGCTCCTCCTGTAGTGGCTTGAGTAAATCGGACACATAAATCTTATGCACTACAGCTTTAACTTCTTTTGAACTTTACAGAAAAAGTTTGAGTGGAAACTCATCGCTTTACATAGCTGCAGAGAAAG